TTTCAAAAGGTACAAATTTGTACCTAAAAGGTCCATTATAATGCCTGAAAGGTCCTTGTTTGAAGGTAAATATTTGTAGGTACTCGTATATACTTTTCAGGTACTAATATGGACCCTTTAAGTACAAATGTGTATTTTTTGAAAAGAAACATCCCAGTGACAGCTCGCAAATCTTTATTTCTGAGAGTGTCGAATGATTGCTAAACATATTTAATTATAGTAGATAGATTGTATAATACTGTAAATAGATAGATAGATAGATAGATAGATAGATAGATAGATAGATAGATAGATGGATAGATAGATTGATAGATAGATGGATAGATAGATGGATAGATAGATCTGTAGGGGAAACCGGAGCACCTGGAAGAAACACACACTAACACGAGGAGAACATGCAAACTCCACACAGAAACTCCAACTGACTCGAACCAGCAACCTTCTTGCTGTGAGCCCAATGTGTTACCCACTGTGCCACCATGCAGCCCCAAATGTAATTTAGAAATATATATTTATACTAAATTTAAACTTTTTATTTCTAATAATACTATATATGAAATATTTGTTACTATATCATAACACATAATGCATTATACATGATGGAACATTAATCAGTCAATGATGAAACAGTTCATCTATATATTGTTATTTTATTTACATAAATATTGATTACATGTTTCAAATGTTCCAGCTTCATAGTAACTAATTTAAAAACACATAATATTTATACAAAAAAATCACATATTAAAAAAAGAAATACATTAAAACAATATAGATGAAATAAATAATAATAGTAAAAATAACTACATTCAGATTAATTATTGTTATTTTTAATTATTATTTATTTCATCAATATATTGTCATTGTATTTTATAGATTTTGGGTGGAAAAGACAAACTTTTTATTTACTTCTTTTAAAAAAAATTATATCTTTTACATTTTTTAGTCAAATTCAAAATGATTACAATACGAGAAGTGTATAAATGTACATATGCACATGTTTTGTTTGTGTACAAGTAATTACAAATCATTTTTCACATTGAACTGAAATCATGGGTAACTTCAAAAAGATAATTAAAAATGATGCACTGCAATATGAAACAAACATGTTCTCATGTTTTGTGAGGTTCATTTTACCTTCTGATGTATCATGGTACCAAAAGTGTTTTCCTCTCTCTCTCCCCTTCTGCATCAAAGCATGAGTATAGAGGTGGATGCTTTGATCTAGTTGCGTCCTTCCATCATGCACTGCTCCAGGTTTGTTTTTTAGGGTTTTATATGTTGCACCTGAGATCTGTGAAACACTGTGTCCTCCTCACTCTGCCTTACTTTTTATTATCTCCCTTTATTTAAGCTTATTTTAAGCACCAGAAATATAGTATCTGCATAAAACGAGAGGTCTTGATGGATACAGGATCTTATGCCCATGCTTACGCTGCTGCCTAGTTAAAGTGCTCAGTTGGCACCATAACCGGGGTGCCAGTGCCAAGTCTTTAAAATGGCACACGCCCTCAAAAAAGCTTAATTGCATCTTGCTCTGTGCCCTGGTTTTCCAATCGGTTGGCATGACAACGGTGGCAATGGCCTTGAAGCTTCGCCTTCGCCCGCTCAGGATTTAGCAAAGCTGAAGGTGTCTCAATAGCCACATTTACTCAAGTAGCAGTGCTTTGATCTTCTTTCAGTGCTGTTATTTGAATGTCTCTATAATACATTATAATAGGATGTCATTATGTATTCCGTAGAGCAGTTTTGAGTGAAAATGCATGTTTCATACCTTTAAATGCATGACAAATAATCTCAAAATCTATTGTGTATCCCAGCTGAAAGGCAACGTTCTGACAAGATATCAACAGACATTGGGTCTCATACACTAATTCATTAATTCGCAATAATATCATTCATTAATATACCACATTTGCACTCGCACGAGAGCCACTCATAGGTGCATGAATTTGTTCTTAACTTCTAATTTTAGTGAATTTGGAGTATTGGAAATGAGCAGTCGTT